TGTGATAACGACAAAAAATGCTATAGGTGGCGTGCAATTAACAGATACGTCAGTCGCTATAATAATTGAAAGACGCAAACATTTGTACAGCAAAGAGACACACAGTCAAGTCATCACACCTATTTAGTTTTTGTTGGCGAATATGAAGAAAGTGGAGGGTTTAGCAAAGACTGTTCTTTGCATTCATAATATTTTTTTTCTCTGTCCACAGAACAGTTCGATTTATATAAATATCAGTTTTAAAGTCAGACAGTTCGAACTTTTGACACCGACAATATGCTAAAAAATCGGTAATTAATCGAGTTTCTTGCAATAGTTTAACCTTTTTTTACTTATGCTAAAGATAAGATAATTACATAATCTCAGTATTTTTAGCTTGACTACACAAATTTTATAACAGACTATCTAAGAATGCTAAAGACAAGGTTTGGTGATCATCCATCAATTCCCTAATTCAGTAAAAATAAAAGATGTTTTAAGGTTTTTCTATTTTAAGAAATAGGGGCCCTAAAAGGGGCCAATCAAATTAATATGAGCAAACTTGATAAAGACTACCTAAGAATGCTGCAGACAAAGTTTTATGATCATCCATCATTTAATTTAGAAGGAGGAGGTGTTTAAAGGTTTTTTCCATTTTTAGCTCTGCTGACCCCTCAAAGGGGCCAATTGAAAATGTCATGAGCAAATTTAAGTGTGACTGTCACAAGGATACTAGAGACCAAATTTGAGGGCCCAACAGTTTCAGAGAAGAAGATGATTGTTGATGCATGATGCCGGAGCATCCCCCTTTGATACCAATAGCTCACCCTGAACCTTCGGTTCTGGTGAGCTAATCCAAAGAGTAAACCAGGAGCTGCATTTAAGGGAGACAAAGGCAATATCTTCCTTTCTTCGTTTTGAAATTTTTCATTCATTATTCTGTAAATATCTTCAAAATGAACATACTAGGCATTCACAGCAACAAAACTTTTCTCCTAATAAATAATTAAATGGTGGTTTCCTAACTTGACCCCTGTGGTTCAGGTGAGAGTATTAAGAATAAACAATAGATGTCAAAGTTAACTCTGGACATGTTAAAGAACATGTATAATGAATGACTTAAGACTTGTTTTAATCATTAATATCAACATAATCTGTTATTGTAACTTCAAGGGTTTCCTCTAGTCAACTGACTTGTTTTAAAAGTACTTGGTGCCTGTTGGTATTGATTGTTCCCATAAAGTTTTGTTGGATTCTAGCCAGAGAACTAGCACAGAAAAGATTGTTGCTCTATATGTATACTGCTAAAATTATCAAGGGCCATAACTCTTAGTTAAAGGGTCTGATCAGAACAAGGCAACAAAATATGGGCATCTTCTCTTGGTATTGAATGTTCCCATAAAGCTCCATTGAATTCCAGCCAGAAGTCACAGAGAAATAGCACAGAAACAATTACTGCTCTACACGCATACTGCATAACTTATCAAGGGCCACAACAGTTAAAGGGTCTGACCGAAACAAGGCCATGATATGCCCATCTCCTCTTGATATTATGGTTCCCATTAAGATTGGTTGAATTCAAGCCAATAGCTGCAGAGAACTAGTGCGGAAACGAAATTCGGACAGACAGACCGACTTACGAAATGGTACTTATATGACTTTTCCTTTGACCATTTTAGCTATTTTTATTCACACAAGGCATAAAAAGGGCACACAAGTAAATACAGAACGAATAGGATCAAAGAAAATCTCGTAAACAATATGGCCAGAACTGAAGATGAATCAAATATTTAAATGATTGCTTTAATGTATCTATAATTGGCAGGTCAATAAAATCAGACTATACTCACTAGCAGGTTTTTCTTCAGAAAATGAACTTTTTTGGATTAAAATACCTTCAAGCTAATTTTTGAACTTTCAAAAGAGATAATTATGCCTAAAGGCCCAAACCCATCCGACTGTCAAAGGTAAAATTAAAATTAGCATCTTGGACAGCCAGCATGGGTCTTTGTGCCATACAGCAGAAAGCTTTTTTTTACAGTCATAATACAATCACCTATATCATGAATTTAACACTGATTTAAAAGTAACTCTTTATTTTTATTGCAAATTTTTTGAGTTCTTCAAAAGAAGGAATTAAAGACGACTAGAAATGTGTCCATAGGACACAGGTGCCCCCACCGCACCACTGTTCTGTCAATCTTATGACTCTAGGTTAAATATTTTTTGGAAACTAAAATTCTTTTACTAAGTAAAGGGCAAAACTAAATAAGCTGAGCAACATTCCTGTAAGGTTTAATGACTCTCACTGCGAAAAAGACATGGATATACGGAAGTGTACGGAATTCCGTATATCGTTAATATACGTGTAAGAATACGGGAAACTTGAAATACGGAGATGTACGGGACCGTATATTATATCAGTCCGTATATGACTAGTATACGAACTCCGTACACTCGTAATATACGGGAAATTTGATGTACGAAGTCCGTATTTTACTAATATACGGAATTTTTATGACAAGTCCGTATATTACTAAAATACGAAATTCCGTATTCGTGCAAATACGGATTCTGTATATAGAAATAGCGAATGATACCGTCAGTGCGACATCCACCTGTAGCATGCAGACGCGGTATTCTAGCTCAATACCGCTGTGTTTGCTTTTTAGCATACATCCGCAGATAAATAGCGAATACTTTACCATTGCGATTGATTACTATTAGATAGTCCTTTTTTGTATTTTGCATATATGGTGAATCATGTTATTTTGTAATTTCTTTTTCATTATCATTATGATATTCTATAATGATGAGCCAAACATGAGAAAATGATAAAGTTGAAATTGTGATGTTTAAAACATGAATTAATTATATTAAAATCGTGAAACTGTGAAGTTGAAATCGTGAAAGTTAAAATAATTGTGAAATCACGAAGATGAAATCGGGATTGTCCACACAACATTTAAATTTTACGTTTATATATGTCCTACAAAAAATAGGCTATACATAATATAATACATGTACTTGCATATGTAAAAAAAAATCAACAATGATATCTCATTCATTCATTCATTCATTCATTCATTCATTCATTCATTCATTCATTCATTCATTCATTGAATCAATCAACCAATCATTCATTCATTTATTCATACATTCATTCATTCATCACTCATTTATTCTTATATTTATTTATTATTTTTATTTATTTATTTATTTATTTATTTATTTATTTATTTATTTATTTATTTATTTATTTATTTATTTATTTATTTATTTATTTATTTATTTATTTATTTATTTATTTATTTAATCTTTTATTTCAGGAAACATAAAGATTTGCGTTTTTGTACACAAGTTTTGAATAGAAATCTTATGAAGTTCCGACTTCCCCAATTTTGATTCTTTTCGCGCGGTCTCATTTATGACATAATATTGTGTAATAGCCACGTGCTGTATTGCGATAATCGAAGCCAATACTGATTAAGCCGGTTATTGATCCGGATATTGATCATAAACGCAGCAGGGTATAACGAGTTTCGGTTTTTTCCGATTACGTAAGTTAGCGCAATTGGTGTTGAATGTCTTAACGGTAATTTTTACTGTTAATTTCTAATATAATTCATGTACGAAATCAAGGAATTAAATTGTGATCTCATAACCGAGTCTCTATATTTTGTCTCATTCGTATACATACATTTGTATGTGATTTTGTTACAGCTATTATAAAGACTATAACCTGACATATTAAAATGAAACAGACATAGCTGCTGTATTCTTTCAAATGTTTTGCAGCGTCGTGTTGTTGTTATCCTTTTATCTGGCGGAATTCGTAATTTAAACAAGACACAATTAAGTTATTACTATACGTCAACATTCTTTGGCAGTGTGTTAATCATATCAGTCAAAATTGTGATACTGAAGAGTTTTTTGTTCTTAAGAGAAATAACGTTGAGTGTAATGTACTTGGTAAGAGACTTGTAATATTATGTGTACCTACATGAAAAATTTGGCAGGTAGTTTCTTTATCAATCAAATCGATCATCTCCAAACATTTGATGATTGTTGATATAATGTATATATGTTGATGTCATACACTTTTGGTTATTTTGTATGTTTTGTGTCCTCATCGGCTTAAAAGCCTATTTGAATGAAATGTAATAATCTACTGCATAATAGAAACTGGGACATAATATGAATAAAGTCCCAAACAGAACAGTTTTTCCATTAGAGCAGATAATGAATAAAAAGTTATTTTTTAATATAAATACTCAACACACATACATTTATTTAATTACAGATGTCAAACTAAAATATATGATACATTTTACTATTTATTACCAATCCTTTATTAAAGCAATTTAATATTTTAGAATTTTGACAATTCGACTAAAAAAGAAAAGAAATATAAAAAGTACATTCTTTTGATAAGTTATTTTTTTAAATATTATTTTCATGCTTTACCCGCTTATTGTTATAACAAAAATTTGTGTAATTTATGAATATTTCTTAGCGCTTCTAAAACGTCTTTTATTTTTATCATAAATGTTATTATTATTATTATTATTATTATTATTATTATTATTATTATTATTATTATTATTATTATTATTATAATCATCATCAGCATCATCATCATCATAAGTATTATTAAAACACACATACATTTATTTAATTATAGTTGTCTAACTAAAATATATGATAAATTTTACTATTATTATTATTATTATTATTATTATTATTATTATTATTATTATTATTATTATAAAAAGTGAATAACCGATTAAGCATTAGAATCAATGTTTTGCCTATGAAAAAGTATCAATGGTTATGTCATACATGTATGCAAAGTTATCGTTTATGGATACATGATATTTCCTATTTAATATTGCATTATTTTGACTTAGTATGCTGGTTTATTCCGCATTATCACGGACATTAATATAAGTCCGTGGCATTATTAATGCTAAATGCTTAATTACACAAACGGTATCTAGGCATATCACGCGTTTTCAAAACAGCCAATGAGTTTGAGGCGTTGGTTTTGTATGACGTGAATCCTATCAACCAATCAGAAATAGCGCGGGCGAAATGAAAAAAGAAAAACGCGATTGGAAATGGATGGTTAATAAAATTCAGAATATTGCAAAACAAGGTAGGTTAAAAGTTATTTTTTATCGTTGTAATATCAATATGCGATCAATAGAATTGTTGCATTTTGTGAACAACAGCTTATTTCAGGGTTAAACTGATTTGTTTTTAGAAAACTTTAACACTTTTTTAATCTGTTTCGCTATCCAATATGGCCGCCGGATTAGATAATTAAAGCAGGGATATATCCCTAAATTTAGACTGGGAGGTTACGAGTTTGATTTTGATTTCTAAACTGTATCTTGTGGTTTGAAAAATGCAAAAAACAACAAAATGAAAAGGGCATTTCTTAAATACGTTAATCATAACTTCCCTTTTGGGTAAGAAAGAGACGTAAAAATTTACGACATTTAAAACATCGAAGATGTCAAGGTATTACAGCCCCTGGACATGGTAGTACAAAAGGATTAATCAGTGTGTGTGACACGACCTATGTATGCTTGATTTGTCAACTGATTGGACTTTATAATCTTGAGCGATCTCAATTATCACTTATAGCCAGCCCGCATAGCTCAATCGGTTAGAGCGCGAGACTTGTAATCTCGACATTGTGGGTTCGATTCCCGGGCTGGCCAACTAAAATTACTAATCAGTCTTTCGGATGAGACTTTAAATCGAGGTCCCGTGTATGGGTGCTTAAACACTTTGCACGCTAAAGAACCAGGAGAAACTTCTGGAATTGGGGCATCTTTCTGTATCTGTAATTGCACTATCCTCCGAAAAATAAAATGACTAATACTCTTCTGGAGGGCTCGCCCATATGGGCAACCGGTGGCGAGTATAAATAAACGCAAATACACACACATTATCACTTAAAACCAGGTGTGCGAGTCAATGTGCAATCAATTTAATCAATATAATAACAAAAATTATGAGATTTAACAGATTAACATATTTTAAAAGAAAATTGTTTAGTACTTCTAAAAAATATGTTTATAAATTTTAGATAAAATCGTCTTTCTCAGTCTTGATAATTCAACGAGCAGAATACTTGTTTTATATTCGCAATTTTTATTTTTTTTATACAAATCCCTATTATTTCATGCAAATCTAAGTCACTTTAAAGACTCCGCTCTTTTCATTTTTATTCACTTTTTTTAAGTTTCTGTACACATTTTTCTATATATTTCTTATTTATATTAACTATAATTATATAAATGAATACAAATCTGAAACAAAAATAGCAAACAAATATTTATTTTTTCATTTAAATCATTATACATTTAGATGAATAAAAAATGACAATATTTGTCAGAATTTTTTATTTACATTAATACAAAGAATGACAGATAAATATCTGCATGATTGCATGTTATATGACCGACAGGTGTTACGTTTCAAAGTTACGTGTTAATTCACCTTTTACCCTTGGTGTCAAAAGATATGCTTATTTTTACATTGATACGAAGCTTAGTGTCGGTGTAAGAAATTTTAAACTCGTGAATATAAAATATAGCGACGAACCATAAGTTTTAAAACGGTTTTGTTTGTATTGTTTTAGCATATATATAATAATAAGCAAGATCGAGTTTACTCGCAATTCAGGACGGACAAACTCTTTTTTGTTCATTCGATATTCTTGGTTATTTATCTACGTTGTTCAGGATAACCCAGATTTTAAATTGTATATACATGAACTGAGTTTTCAACATTTACATTGGATTTTTTATTGACAAGTTTAAAATTTAAATATTTTTTTCTTATTATAATTAAAACACTTTGTTTAGTTTTTAAGATAAACATTACGCATAAGGTGATATCGCATGGGTCAGTCACAAACACGCGCCTGTTTGAGGAAACAGCTATTTAATATTTGTTATTTTTTTTATACAAATCCCTATTATTTCATGCAAATCTAAGTCACTTTAAAGACTCCGCTCTTTTCATTTTTATTCACTTTTTTTAAGTTTCTGTACACATTTTTCTATATATTTCTTATTTATATTAACTATAATTATATAAATGAATACAAATCTGAAACAAAAATAGCAAACAAATATTTATTTTTTCATTTAAATCATTATACATTTAGATGAATAAAAAATGACAATATTTGTCAGAATTTTTTATTTACATTAATACAAAGAATGACAGATAAATATCTGCATGATTTGATTGCATGTTATATGACCGACAGGTGTTACGTTTCAAAGTTACGTGTTAATTCACCTTTTACCCTTGGTGTCAAAAGATATGCTTATTTTTACATTGATACGAAGCTTAGTGTCGGTGTAAGAAATTTAAAACTCGTGAATATAAAATATAGCGACGAACCATAAGTTTTAAAACGGTTTTGTTTGTATTGTTTTAGCATATATATAATAATAAGCAAGATCGAGTTTACTCGCAATTCAGGACGGACAACTCTTTTTTGTTCATTCGATATTCTTGGTTATTTATCTACGTTGTTCAGGATAACCCAGATTTTAAATTGTATATACATGAACTGAGTTTTCAACATTTACATTGGATTTTTTATTGGACAAGTTAAAATTTAAATATTTTTTTCTTATTATAATTAAAACACTTTGTTTAGTTTTTAAGATAAACATTACGCATAAGGTGATATCGCATGGGTCAGTCACAAACACGCGCCTGTTTGAGGAAACAGCTATTTAATATTTGTTATACATAAATTTAAACGCTTGAAAAACTGTATAGAGCCTTTGTACATTAGAAAATTTTTCGACATTCCATATTTTGACTTTTATTTCACATAAAGCGATATGGTAACACACGCACGCACGTACGAACACACAAACATACATAACTACACATGCACATAAAAGTGAACACGTTCCTGCAGTATTAACACTTTCGCACATGTGATCACTTATGAAATATTTTCAATGTGCTCTTTATCAGTTTATGCTGAAGTTATATTATCATTTTTCAGGACAGTGTACAGCGTGTTTAAATCTTCCAGAAATGCAGCTGTGCCCTCTTTACAGCAATTATAGATGAAGCAAAGTATGACAGCAAGTAATATAGATGTAAGTTCACGTATATACATTGTTGTATTTTGTGAATAAAATAAGACAATTACACGGACGTACTGTCTGTAAAGAAGAGTTACCCAGACTCATATATTCCCATCCGTACTGACATCATGTGTTTTTTTCTTTCTCAAGGCAAAGTCAAATTTCCTTAATTACACGCATTTATTTTGACATGAATGAATGTTGTTAGTTATAAATACATTGGTTCTCTTTTATATCTTGTTGGCGGAATGATGTCACACTTCATAAAATGATGTCAATTAAGGCATATAAGCATTTTGCAGTGCATTTGAAAATGCTAAAACATCCTTGCTTTTAATATGAAAAAAATCAAATATATAAAATAGAAGAAACAACTCAAACACACACACATTGTTTGATATGGATGCACTGTGCATGCGACTTTATTTTATTAAATTAGTTTTCTTTTCTTAAACATATTACTGTAACAAAAAATATAACTTTTATATATGAGCCGTGTCATGACAAAACCAACATAATGGGTTTGCGACCAGCATGGATCCAGACCAGCCTGCGCATCCGCGCAGTCTGATCAGGATCCATGCTGTTCGCTATCAGTTGCTTTACATGTTATAGGGTCTGCTTGCGAACAGCATGGATCCTGATCAGACTGCGCGGATGCGCAGGCTGGTCTGGATCCATGCTGGTCGCAAACCCATTATGTTGGTTTTGTCGTGGCACGGCTCATATGTTAATGATAGTAATTTTTTTAAGTTACTACGTGCATAAGCGATAAGTAGGCCGCTTTGATAATGTGAGTGTGACTCTACATTTTCTTTTGTGCATGTACACTAAAGTTAACAACCTTTGTCTGAATAGGTAAAACAGGGTTTTCACAAGCGAATATTATGTAAGATAAGAAACAGAATTTGAAATGTCTTGATGGAAAAGTTAGTAAAGTCATTCGAATGTCATACACATTAAATTTTATCACGAGTTTGAGCCTCACAAGTTGTCTCACTTTTTTGCGTTTTTCTTTCCATATATTGTTTTTAATTTTACATTAAAAAAATGAATTGGGATAGAAAGGTAGTTTTGTTATGATATTTAATAATTTAGACATACATGCACGGATGATAGTGATTTTTATCCTGTATAGTGTGTAGTATGTAGTAGTCATAGTACTTTTGCAGTGCAGGAGTATTTCGTGCAAACTTAACTATAGTTGAAACAGTCTGTGTACAGTATCGTGCATTCTGTATAAGTTTGCACCAACTTGCTAAATAGGGCTAAATGTAGCTACATTTAAAACAAAATGACAAGTTAATAGAAAATAGCACAGCATTTATAATCTTTACAATAGATGATACAAAACTTTCTTACTTGATTGATAATTATAAAGCAATATTTTTGGGAAAAAGGCGAATCCGAGCCTAGCTGTCTTGCATTGATATTACCACAACCTTACCTACTGCATTACGCTGAGAGTTGGTAAATTTGTTGATAATTTGTTTTATATAGCTAGCCTGTTTTGAAGATAATAAACACAATATGATAGCTGTTTTACACCTGGATAGTGGACTTGACCACCTCGTCACTTAATTATTATACTAAACGCACAGTACTTGTGCGCACGTGAAACATATGGCGTTGATACGTAAATGTTTCACGTGCGCACGTAATACTGTCGCATTCGCATGTAGTAACTAAAATATTTCCTATGTTATTTTATGCAATTGTCACATATGATACATATATTTTATTATCTGAATTTGATTTCATACTATCAGATTCATTAATGTTATAGGCAAGGGAGAATATTTTGATCTATAATTTTTGTGAGAATTATCACTTTATTTTTAGTGATGGCACACTGTAAGAGATTCTATTGTCAACTTACCTAGTTAAACAGTCTTAACAATAAAAAAAATATTAATCTACACTAGTGTCCATTGAAGGTATTTATTCGTTGCTGTGAAGTTGTGATGGAATAGTTTTTGAAAGAATTGAAACTGAAACAAACAATAATTCAAATTTGTTAAGATTTACGTTTTTATATAAATGAGAAGTATAGCTGGGTATTCTGCCTTTTACTTAACTGGATATCATTGTGCAAACACGGATCTACATCTGAGTAGCAAATATCTGTACATTTTAAACCTTTTTTTCCCTCCTACTAACGATGCTAATATACATCGTAAAACGATCAAAAAGATTATGTCAGCCCTTTTCCCAATGCAATGTTATCTTTTTTAAATATATTTTAAATCAATAAAATACTCTTTACATAGAACAAAGATACCATTATAATTTATATTACAAGTGTGAAATATATGTATTCGTAAAAGTTTCATAACAAAAACATATAACTTATCATCCGTCATAGATTAATTATTTCATTTAAATCCTGTGTAAATGATTGCTTATAAATGACATCTTTATCCTAATAATATAAAATAATTTTGAAATTTGAGTAAGAAAAAAAATGTATATATGTATACGCTTAAAAAAATGCTTGTGTATAGTCTTTTGAAAGTTGTGATAACTACTTCATGACATTATTTAAACAGGATTTTAAACTCTCTTTTTTCAGATACACACATGCCGAAGAAGATTGTAATATCTGGAGAAAACATTTCCTACGTCACGAAATAGACACCGTCACACTGGTCTACGTATCATTCCTATAGATGATTGATATATTTAACTGCTTTTAAGAACAGTGTTTGAATGACGAATTTCTGTGAATACGGATTTTTAATTTTAATGATTATTATTAAAACTTTCTGTTATTATCAATTTGTGCTATGGACTCATTTTCCTAAAATAATAATTATGTGAATGTTAACACGAATAAATGATATGAATATCTTTAAAATGTTTTATGGGTGTAATATAAGTGGCTCATATGAATCATTGTTAAGATAAATCGAAAAGAACTTCAAGTTAGCATAGTTTGTTCTAGATTTAAACAACATGCAATTCATGAAGGTTACGGCTTGAAAATATCGAAAAATTTACATGTATAATTCGATCTCTGAAGAAAATATCGCGGTGCGGATGTTCTGCACTGTGATACGTATTTCTTGACTCTGTATCGCAACATTCCGGTATATCGCCTTTCCGTTGCAACCTTACATTAATGTGTCCCTCTGGAATAAGGCTTACAACAATATATGACTATTGTAGCGAAGACATGTTTATTTTGTTATATATATGTATACATATTGAATATATGTTTATGAAATAATAAATATTTAAGAGTAACTCGATTTGGTTTTTACTTTATTATTTGAAATACTCCAATTTTGAAGATAAAGTTCTTAAGCATATGACTACAATTCCCATTCACAATGTGTAATCAAACATGTTCTATTGTACAAGCCTGCATTTCGGTCATGTAAATGCATGCTTTTGGTGGTATCTGTACCTTCTGTTATCTCGAAAATACAGTTCTGTATACCCTGTGTACAACTAAAAAAGGCAATTCCGTATATCCCCTGTAAATATAGAAAATACGATTCCGTATATCTTCTGTATATGTAGAAAATACGATTCCGTATATCATCTGTATATGTGGAAAATACGATTCCGTATATCATCTGTTTAATTGGAAAATACGAGTCCGTATATCATCTGTATATGTAGAATATACGGTTCCGTATATCCTTTGTATACGTAGAAAATACGAGTCCGTATATCCTCTGTATACGTAGAAAATACGGTCCCGTATATCCTTGGTATATTTAAAGTATACTAGGGATAACAACCTTGATAAAGTCCGTATACGGGATTTTATTCTCCGTATACCCCAAACATACGAACAAATATACGTACATGTATATGGTGCAAATACGGAATTCCGTATATGCCTGATGCATATACGGACTTCCCGTATACCCGGTGTTCCCTATACGGACTCGTATACTTGGTCCGTATATTCGACAAATACATCCCGTACACGCCCGTATATGTCAAAAATACGGGACCGTATATTCCCGTATATCAGTATATTTTTCGCAGTGTCTATGTCAATTCCTTTTTGAGTTACAAGTGACACAAGTTGAAAATTGTACAGTTTTACTAAAATATGAAAAACAAGATCAACAAGGAAAGGCGGCGTTCAATGAACGCAAAGTCAAGGGCAATAAAAATACTATATAAATATACACAAAATACCCAGGTGCACAACTAAACATGCTGATCATTATTTCATGACTCTAGGTCAAATACTTTTTGTGTTACATGCGACACAAGTTGAAAATTGCAACATTTTACTAAGTCAAGGGCAATAACTCTAAAAATATCCAGACGAAAATACCCAGGTGCACAACTAAATATGCTGACCAACATTCCTGTAAAGTTTCACGACTCTTGGTCAAATACTTTTTGAGTTACATGCGACCATGTTGAAAATTGCAAAATTTTACTAAGTCAAGGGCAATAACTCTAATAAAGTTTCCTTTTAAAAGGAAAGGCTTGCTCAGTTGTGTCACCATCCCTTCCCTTTAAAATTGTGTTTTTTTTTTGTTTCAATTTATTCTCACAATTATTTTTGAATTGGGGTATTTGTATATCATAAAGGGTTTATATAGTTTTTTCTCGAAAAAAAAGTTTCACTTTTAAAGGGATAGGTAGAGTAAGCCAGAGACTGGACGAGCACCTGTGCCCATTTGTTTGAGCACCAGTGTTATGCGTGCAAATATGGACCAAATAGGGACCAGAAGTCCACTGATTATAACTGAACGGGAACATGCTGACCATAACAGTAGCAACTTTTTTTGGTAAAAACGAATATTTTTTTGTCAAAAACGATTCGAAATATATTCTCTACTGTACAAAACTAATAAAGAAAAAAATCAATCGTAAAAATACTAACATTGGCTCTCACGTGGAGATCAATCTATCGTACTGAAGGGAAACTGCCGCTTCATTTCCACTTTTTTCGCAGAGAGAGTCATTCGTTTTGGCAATTGCTAATTTCATTTTTATAGCAGCTTTAGACACAAGTGAATGCACTAAAAGATTTCGTTACGTGGTACCAATTAATAAACATGTATCATCTATGTTACACCTCGACAACACAGGAGATCAGCACGTGGTAAGGTTAGTGATATGCATGGGCTATTTTTAGATTACCTCACCAAGACGTTTAAACTATGTCAGTAGATCTAAATATAACTTAAGCATGCACTAATATTCTGCGTGATTCGGTCACGATCGTTTGGTAAGCAGGACCGCCCTTTAGAGACAGAATACTACTTCAGTAAGCATTCTCTATTGTATAACACGAATAAAGACAAAAAAACAATTATAAAAGAAACTAACTTTTGCGTCTTGTAAAAGAATTTAAACGGAATCAAGTAAAAATAGAAATCCTATTTATATAAACAAACAGGGATTACCAAAGTAACTAAAATAGCTTAGATTTCCGTAATATTACTTCGTCTGATTCCGAAATATGACGGAATCGCCCGAATTGTCACGATTGCAATCGGAACAACCTCGGCTATTATAATTAATCCGAAGAGTGACAGAAAGGGCCAAAAAGTTGCGATTGGCATGATTGCAGCTGGATTCCCGTTCAATCATGCACTAACAAATGTAAGCAGGAAACCACCTAACCGGAACAACTTTTCCAAAACAAATGGGCTAAAAAATACTAAATATATTCCGACGAAAATACCCAGGTGCACAACTACACATGCTGATCAACATTCCTTTAAAGTTTCATGACTCTATGTCAAATAATAGAATAGATAAATACAGAATCCCTAAAGAAAGCCCAACACGGCAAAATTGAAAATGTTGCAGGCTCGGTTTGATTGAGCCTGTTCATGAACGGTACTGGAAAGTGCAAGTTACCGTCCACGCCCCCTCTCACCGGCTTAAGCAGAATTCAACATTTTAAACATGAAATAGTAAAATTTTGAATTTAGAAACATCCGCAGATGTGTTCATACGGCGGTTATCATGGAACCTTCAATGTGACACTTCCGTGCCATTCCATGAAAAGCGGCGTATGGTCCCCAAGTAATAAAAAGCGTGTGCCCTAAACGAGAAAACAATGGGCAGAACTAAATAAAATAGAATTTTGAAAGGGGATCAAAAGTTATGAAGCCTGCGTATCACAGATAAGACGTCAAAAGACAAATTTAAAAAGCAAGCAACATATCCTAAGGGTGATTCAACATTATTCAAGTAGGAATAATGGAACCACCCAACTAGAAAATGCCGAAAAATTGAAACTAAAAATACCACAAGCACAACAATAATGTCGTGCTGAACGATCTTCAAGGATCGAAAATATAACATCATTGATTAAATGTACGGGGAGACTTTTTACAGCCGCCACACGGCACAAATAACACGGATGTGATCATAAAATAGATAAATACAAAATCCCTAAAGAAAGCCAAACATGGCAAAATTGAAAATGTTGCAGGCTCGGTTTGATTGAGCCTGTTCATGGACGGTACTGGAAAGTGCAAGTTACCGTCCACGCCCCCTAGCACCGGCTTAAGCAGAATTCAACATTTAAAATCTTGTGTCCGCTCTATTAATCCTGTACTAATGATAGAATTTTCCACAAACTTTACTCAAATGTTCACCTCAACAAGGTTATGTGCAGAACCAATGTTACCTTTGTGTTGGCCTAAGGTCAAGGTCACACTTGAAGGTAAAAAAATTGACTTAGACAATGTTCTAAAAATCAATATGTACTTGAATATTTCTGAAACTAGCACTGGTATTTGATTGAAACTTAAAAGATATATGAGGTGTCACAAGTGATATATGCAGGTCAAGTTTCTGTATTGCATTTTAACAAAAATCTGGAAACAAAGTGATCCCTCGGAAGCATTAATCACAACAGAATTACACGAGAATTGCAGACTCGGTTTATGTCCCTTTTATGTCCTAAGTTATGCCCCTTTTTTGTTCACCTGTCAAAAAGTGATAGGGTGAGCTTTTGTGATCGCTTTTTGAAGGCGTCCGTCCGTCCATAACCTTCTACTTTAAATGACATCTCCTCATAAAATATGATAAACAAGATCAACAAGGAAAATTCTGGCAAAAAAGTGATCCCTCGGAAGCATTAATATCAACAAAATAAAATAAGAATTGCAGACTCGGTTTAATTGAGTCTGTACATGAGGGATAATGAATAAGTGCAACATCCCTCACGCCCCCTAGCACCGGCTTGAGCGGTACGAGCGGTACTCAATTCTCAACACTTTATAGTGCTGGCATCAATGATCCCGAAGGACCAGAAAATATAACAACACTGAAGTGAAGTACGGGGCAACTTTTAACGGCTGCCACACGGCACTTGACACCTGCTGTTGTGAAGTACAAAATTCTGGAAACAAAGTGATCCCTCGGAAGCATTAATATCAACAAAATAAAATAAGAATTGCAGACTCGGTTTAATTGAGTCTGTACATGAGGGATAATGAATAAGTGCAACATCCCTCACGCCCCCTAGCACCGGCTTGAGCGGTACTCAATTCTCAACACTTTATAGTGCTGGCATCAATGATCCCGAAGTACCAGAAAATATAACAACACTGAAGTGAAGGCGGCGTTCAATGAACGCAAACCCCATATGAAAATAGATCAAATACAGAATCCCTAAAGAAAGCCCAACACGGCAAAATTGAAAATGTTGCAGGCTCGGTTTGATTGAGCCTGTTCATGGACGGTACTGGAAAGTTATATTTTGCACATAACCTTGTTGAGGTGAACATTAGAGCCGAGACTGAAGAAAATCTTTCAATTAGTGTAGGACTTACATCCCCTTGTTGAGGTGAACTTTTGAAGAAAATCCTTCAATGGGTATAGGATTTATAGAGTGGACATGAAAATGGAGATGGACAGACGGACATGCC